AATTTTAACAAAACAAAACAAAAAAAAAAAAAAAAAAAAAAAAAAAAACAAAAAAAAAATCGCCCCCAATCTCTTAAGTCCTAAATTAACTTTAAACTTCAAAAGTCTGCACTAAAAATAACTCAGGAGCTACTGGGCCCATAACCAAAATGATGCTAAAGCAAAAATTTAAAGTTTAAAGAAATTAAACATTTAGCAGTAGTAGCAATGAAAGCTCTCTGAATTATGTTGTGCAGACATTGAAGACAATAAAAGATTTTTGAACTTAACCAATTTATTAACAATATAATAAAAATAAAAAACACATAAAATAAATGTCAACAATATTAGAGTATTTAGGAAAAACACAACATAATCATCATTCATCAAATATTTTACCTGTACTCCAAAACACTGGCATTCTATACAAACAAAAAACAAAAAAAAAAAAAAAAAATGTCCTAAATAGTGACTATGCAGCTTAAAAATAAAGCAGGCTACCCATTCAATAAGTCCATAATCAATGGTCAAGAAAACACCTGAAAAATTTAAATGTGAAAACACTTAAAAACCGGCCTAACTCCGTTTGCACAAGGAGTCGTCGCCGCTCACGTATTTTAATTCCGCCCTCATTGAAGAAACATGGACGCCGCCCACAGCAGTCACTCACAGGAAAAAGCCCCCGGAACCGAAGAACTTCAATCTGGAACCATCATCTCACAAACCGGAATCAAGGCATTTTTTCACCGGACTGCAGGCATCCTTTGGAAGGGGCTGGAAACCGCTCACTCACCAGCCAGGAAACCAGGAACTAGAAGCTTTGAGCCAGAGCGACGCGATACTTATAGCAGAAGTAGGAATGATGTCATCTCACGGCAACCAATCAGCTATCGGCACGAATCGGCTTTTCAGATGACGTAAATCATGTTCCGTTTTTGCATCTCAATTAGGTTGAAACAGTCCGTTTTCAATGCAAACAGTGGCAGCAAGAAAAGAAGTAGAAGTAACTACTATATTATTTTAAAATAAGGACTAAACTAAATAAACATTTCAAGGAGGAGAGATGATGCAGTAAAAGGTTTAAAAATAAGCTATATTTTCCAACAAAGAAATTGCAAGGAAATAAAAATAAAAATTATTATCACTGCGAGCTAATTTATCATTTAAATTCTAAAAGCATATGTAAATTAATTGCATTTATCTAAAACTATGAAAAAAATTATTCAAAAATATTAAATGTATTATTCCTAAAAATTGCATAAGTGAGACATTGTTGAGCAGGCAGGAGACAGACTTATCAGGGCGAAGTTGCCCCCATAACTAACTCTTCAATTACTCAATTCGTCATCGATATAGGCAAGGGTAAAAGTAAAAAGCCAAAAGTAAAATCAAATGTTGTGAAAAAATAAAAATTTTGAAAAAAGAAATTTAAACAGTGGAGTTTTAAAAAAATAGCAAGTAAATGACTAGATTTAAAATTAATTAAATTAATTAAAAGGCAATTAAGAGGTAGAAAACCAAAGTAATTTAGAAAATCTTGCTTACAGGAAACTTTCTCAACATGAGTTATGCATGTAAACCTAAAATAAACTACAGTCAAAGGTCGTTAATTCGGACACTCATAATCCGGACCTCAAAGCTACAAACTTTCTGCGCATGCGACGCATGTGCGTAATACCTTTACGGCTGTGAATACGCGTGTGCGCAAAATACATTTACGAATGCGCGTTTAATGTATAACGGACGGTATAAGCTAAGCTAAAATTATCTAATTCAGTTCATGTTGCAGATTGCGTTGTTCCTTAAACTTCGAATTGGATTTGGCTTATTATTTTTTGCAGACTGTTAGAGCAATTTTATAAAAGTAATGAACTTTCGATTATGTCAAATAGAATTTCTGATGTATATTTACTAATATGTAAAAGATCTACAAAGCGAAAGTATGTTTCGAAGTCCATTAAACAAAAAGTGGAATTGCTGCAAAAAATGGATAAAGGCATATCCTTTGTTTATCTAAACTTTAACGTTTGTTTATCTAAACTTTGTTTATCTTTAACGCTGCAGCGCAATGAATTGGAAGTTGATCTGTCAGCACTATCCTTATCTTCAGGGCAAATGTTTTTTATTTTATTTGGCTTATAATTCCTTACTAAATGTAGTATTTCATCTCGATGTACTCCGTGTTTGATATGATTTAAATCAAATTCCTCGTCATTATAATTCGTTTCCGATAGCGAAGAAAGTGACAGAGGTTATTGAAAACGAAAAAATTTCGATTGACAAATTAGTCGGTATTCTCGACATAGCAATTATAGGATTTGAACAGTGTTACTTTGTAACTGAACAAGAAATTATGTCTGTTTATAGAATTAAAGAGAATGTATTATCACATAAAAAATGAAGCAACTTAAACAACTTACATTGAAAGAAATGTTTAATAAAGTAAACAAATAAATATTAAGCTTCTTTTTTGTAAATTTTGATACCCTTTAGATCATAATTGTTCTTTATTTCATAAATTACGGTTTCATATTTTTAATTTTATAATTTCTGCATGCCATCTTACCATATTTAAACTGATGATCTGTAGTCCGGAAAAATCGATAATCCGGAATCGCCGAAGTCCCGACGAGTCCGGATTAATGTCTTTTGACTGTATATACAATTAAAATATAAAAACAATAGAAAGGCAAGTAAATAGCAAGTTTTAATTTAACTTACCTAGTTACATATTTGAATTTCTGAGCTGTACCAGCATTTGCTAAACAAGTGGATTTGAGTAGTTTGTACTGGTAACTGTAAAAATAGATTTTTCTAAGACAATGTAAAGTTAAGTGTAAAGCTGCTACCTGTGAGAGCTGTTGTAAATTCAAAAAATGTAAAAGTAAAAAAATTGTTAGTGTGCAAAAATTATGCCAATTTTGAGTCATTGTAAAAAGTATAAAAGTAAAAAAAAAAAAAAAATGCACTGCTAATCTTTGTGAAAATAGATGTTGCAAACAACTAAAGAGTAAAATTTTTTAGTAAATAAAAATTTGAATAAATAATTGAATTAGATTGGAAAAGAAAATTATGAATTGAAATAGAGAATTATTGTAAGAAATTTTTTTTACATTTTTTGCATTATTTAAAACTTCAATCAAAACTTTAACTAAATACTGTCCAAAGTTAAGGAAATTAGAAAAATTTGATAAAAATCTTCACTCCATTCGGGCTATAGTTGAGACTTTTGAAAAGAGTTAGCCCTTCATTAGTAAAATAAAAAAAAAAAATGTAGTTTTTTTTTTTTTTTTTTACCAAATGGCGGGCACTTGCCTATAACGGCATTGGCCACTACTACAGCCAGAAGTGGTAGCCATTTTATTGTGGAGGCACCTAATGGTGGCCACAGTTAATGAAGGGGCAGACAATTTTACATCCATGCCTTCTCCGGGATTCGAACCTGGGCCCTTTGGTATCTCAGTCAGGCTTCCCTAACCACTATATCATCTGGGTGTTTGAATCTAGTATTGATAAAATATACATTTTTACAAAATATTTACAAGTAATCCCTTATCTCTTCAAAATCCTCCTTTACCCTGCAATTTAAGGTTTAAGGTAATATTATGATACCATAAACAGTTAAAATTTTTTTAAAAAAAGTTAATCCGTGCCTTTTTAATAATATAGAATTTAATAAAACTTTTTTGAACATGGTTATTAACTTAAACATTAATTAGTTTTATTATTTCTTCCTTTAAATCTTCTATTTCAATACATATATTTTTTAATTCTAATTATTTGGCTATAAAAAGCATTACCTATTACTTTTTTAGAGATATGAGAGTTCCAATTCATTAGTTTAATAGTTTCAAACTGGAATGTCCTCCTTTTATCATATAATTTAATTATGAGCAGGTCTAGGTATTCAATATAATCTTGATTCGTATTACTTCTATTAAGTGTTAAACTATCTGGGTAAATTTTGAATTGAAATTATTATTGAAGAATTATTATTGCAGAATTATTATTGAAAGTTATAATATCATCAATGTATCTGATTTTAAATATTGTTAAACATATCACATTCAAAGATTTATTATTACAATGACAATCAAGATGGACTAATATTAAACAGGACAAAGAACTTTGAAATTTATACCAAATGTTTCAATTAAATTGACATCATTGCCTTTTATGATTACAACATTTTTAATTGGACATTTCTAATATATTTAAATAGATTTAAACTCTCAAAGGTATTGTATAAGGTAATAAATACATTTGTAATTGTGATAAAATAGGAAGTGCCGACCATTATGTTTTTGAATGTTAATCACTCAATATTAAAAGCATCACTTAAAATAAACCTAATCAATATTGAAAAGAATGGACCCAACAACATATTAAAACATACTTAACAATAGGTGTTACTGTATCAATTATAACAAATAATTTCAAAGTTATTTCATCAGCTAATTTCTTATTGGATTCTAATATTAAATCTATGATATATTTTATATTATTTATTTTGTATATGTCAAAATTAAGCTGCCCTGCAGTATAGTGGTTAGGAGATCCTGACTCCTATACCTTTTTTTTTTAAAATTTTATTTTAAAAATATCTAAAGTTGTAAATATAAAAAAAAAAAAAAATTCCGATTACAATTTTTTTTTTATTTTAGTGATTATTTAAAACTAAATGCAAAGATTCAAAATATAGTTGAAGTATGAGTGTTTGGTATAAAAATGTGTATATTGTTTCTGATATCTTTGTAACTTTCTTGAATGTCTTTATTATTCCTTCATTTGCAATTGCATTAGTCTTCATCTATAATTTATGATGACTTTACAAATTTCTCATTTGCTTAATTTTTTTTGTAGTTAAAAAACGTTAAATATTCTGGTTATATGAATAGCAGATGGCTGGGCAGTCACTTTAAAAGATATTTGATTTTAATTTATTTCAAGCTGCAACTGGCATTGCGATTTGTACAAATGCTAAATCAATATTATTAAGTTTTTTAAATGCTTACTTTCAGGATGTTGCATGGCATCTTTTACATGAAAGCCTTTTTGGATCAGTTGCAGATGATCAGAAGCTTATGATGTATGTATTGAACAGATTTTTTGTATAAATAGCAAAAAATATATATAATTACTTGTGGAATTTATTTAATATATATTGTTGACTTATCAACTTTGAGTTAACAATATATCTGTTCAAAGAGAATAAAAGCAAATTTTAACTTATGTATTAAAGGAATTAATAACAATAAATTAAAAAAAAGACTGTTTTTAAAAATAAATCTCACTTCTCTCTTTTTTTTTTTAATGTGTGTAGATGGGATACACGATCAAATAATACTAGTAAACCTAGCCATACAGTCGATGCACATACTGCTGAAGTAAACTGTTTATCCTTCAATCCGTATAGTGAATTTATATTAGCTACAGGATCTGCTGATAAGGTAATGTTATAGGTTTTTATCTTTTTGTTTACATAGTATTCTGAATAACTAGTATTTTATATTAATATCAAACTTATTTTATTGTACAGTACAAAACACAGCTGTCAGAAAAGCTTGTGAAATGCTGAAAGTTCATGTTAGAAAAGCCAGATGAATGGAGGAAGAAATCTTCCATCTAAAACTATACAGACAATCATCCTGTCATCCACTAAGCCTACATTTAATAATATGTAAAATATTTTTAAAAATGCATTTCTGACATAAAAAGTGATGCATTTTTTGTAGGCTTTAAACATACAAAAGTAAAACATATCCATTTGTGAAATCCAGTTGACCATGAAAGCTGGCAGAGATGGTACCAAATTTGTACCAATCATTCCGATAGAAGTGTAAAGAAAGTGATTGCTCTTTATTTAGTTAGCTGATTGATAGTTATGGATATAGCATATAAAAAAATAAATTGCTTGCATAATTTTTTACAGTCGTTTGTTTGTTTGTAAACAAAGTTGTGTATTGTGCCCATTAACATAGATTTTTCTTGATGCTAGTCCTGAAATTTTGAAAATACTCCACTGCATGCTATTTTGTTGAAGCCTACATTTTAAACACTTTTTTTTTTAAATGTGAATCAGAAATAGATAAATTGTATATAACTTGTATCTTTCTCTAGAGAAACTAAACTGGCTTATCTAGAATTAATTAGGCTTACATAAAACTGAGACTTATATCTTATCAATGTGTATTCACGTTTCAGATATTATAAATGGAGTTTTGAGCGGTAGTCATGAATGTGATTTATCATGACTTTATAAAACGCTGATTTGTTGTAACTTTTTGTAATTTAGCAAACGTGTTTCTTAAATTAAAAAATATCCTGGGTAATTAAATTCCAGATAGTCAGGCTTTTTACTTTATGTTGTGTAAAATGTATTTGACTTGTTTAATTTATTGTTTTAAGATCCAATTAGACTTGTGATTTGTGAAAAGGCTGAATTAATATTTTTGTAAGAAAAAACCTATATAATATCATTTTGCGCCATCGACTACAAAACGGCAACTCATTTTCAAATTGTTACCACCAAGTATTAGTCTTGCATTAAATTGTACTTAGGAAAGTCCCAGTTCCCTGATTATCAAAATCTTTAGTAGTATTACTTAATACAGGAAATTATACCTGCAGTTATAAAACAATTAAGTGTAAATGAAATGTTAATTAATTTCACATCCCTCCCTTCCCCCCAAAAAAAGGGTCCATTATTGTCATTGAATAAGCTGACGTTCTTGTTGACCACTGTGTTAAGTTACGAACTTTCTGCCCAGCCATATACTTTCTGACACTGAAAGCAAAGTGTATTTATCTGATCAGTACTGCATTAAGGCTGTTTCTTTAGTTTTACTTACCATAAAGCAATGTATGGTTTAAGATATTAAATCATGACAAAGCACTATGTTTTGCTCTTTTCATTTTAGCTAATTTTAAGGAAGAATAAAAAATAAAAATTAAGCTAAGGTTATTTTTGTATTACTTGTATCTAAAAGCTCTTGTTTCAGTTCATTACAGCCTCAACACACATTGAAGTGTTAAATTACTGTATATGAAATCCATTTATTTAATTTTGATACTTTTCAATTAAAGTCTTACTACCTGGTGCTTTTTTGGTTTGGCCTCGTTCTTGGCAATAATTGTCTTTGTAACCATTACCCAGCTGACAAAATTCTTCCATCTAAGGAGTTTTTATTCCTATTATTTCTTAATTTCAGAGTATTTCACATCTTAGGATTTGCTAAAAATGAGCAAGCATCCTATTCCTTCAAGAAAGAGATGTTCTTCATTTGGAAATTGTGTTTGAATAAAATTAAAATGTGACTTAAATCTAAATTGGTAATGCAGCTTTTGGTCATGTTGAGAAGAAAAACGTGTCCAAAGATAAATGTGGCTTGTTAGATCATGTAATCTTTTTGTAACTGCCATAGATTCTGTACTTTTATGATGTTAGACATTAGCATGTGTTGAGTTTTGTGAACCAAAACTTCAAATCAGTCGATGTAATGAGTAATTGGAATAATTACATAAGAGATTATGTGCCTTGTTATTTTGTGCTAGTTTTAAAACCAATAGATGCAGCAGAATCGTGGAAATTGAGAAAAACTTAAATAAAAAATAAAAAAAGGGAATAAAGGAAAAATACTAACGGTGTTCTTTCCCAAAATGGTTTTTTTGGAGGATTTAATCATGAAATTAGAGTGTTCCTTTTCCAGTCCTTTCCATTTTATCTTAATATCAAGCCAAAGGTGTGAAGAAGGAAATAAACCAATTTGGTGCTGGAAATATATGGTATGGCTTTAATTGGAAAGTACCATTACTTCATTATTCTGATTTTTAAATTTCTATACATTATTATAATTTTAAATATTAATAATACAAAGCTGAGTGATTCTTTTTCTAGGGGGAGAAAGAGCAGTAATGATTTTTAATGAGAAACATTTTTAAATGTTTTAATTTTAAACTTCATTTTGATGATGTATTTAAATTGTTTTTCATTTATAGACTGTAGCTCTGTGGGATCTCAGGAATTTGAAGTTGAAATTGCATTCTTTTGAATCACATAAGGATGAAATTTTCCAAGTTCAGTGGTCACCCCATAATGAAACAATATTAGCATCTAGTGGTACAGATAGGAGGTTACATGTATGGGATTTAAGCAAAATTGGTGAAGAACAGTCACCAGAAGATGCTGAGGATGGACCGCCAGAATTGCTGGTACATATTTTTCTGACTTTTTGCTCTGTGTTAAAGTTTCAGTATAATTTAGATGTTAGGTTAGATGCTTACATTGAAATAATTATGTGCTTTTTCATTAGACTGTATTTAAATACCAGAAACAAACTCAAAACAATTGCTTTGGGGAAAAACAGGAAGTTTTCCGTGGTGAGATACCAAAGAAAAGCATTCTGTACTAATTTTGCCCCTGAAACAGTTTTTAGACAAAATGTAAACTGACTCTAGCAATAAAGAGTATCAATTCTAATCTTTGGGATTGTAACTATTCATACTTGTATGTAAAATGCATCAAATCAAAAGGATAAGAAACTGTAAAGCTGAAGAAACAGTTGATACTGCTTTTACATGGGAGTATTTAATGAAACAGGAGTTGAGCAAAATATTTTTTGCACCAGAGGTGTTATTTATTAATTATGAAACTGGCTTTTTTTTTTTTTTTTTCCCGAATTGCTTTTCAGATATTGCCATATATTAATTTTTAAAAATCAAATAATGAATATATATGCATATATCTAGAAATGTGTATGTTGTATAATATCTGTGGAAAAACGATGGTACCTAGAGCACCAAATATTTAATACACATAGTCCTTTACCAGAACATGTGCACTTCGAAGCTCAATATATATATATTGTTTCATATTTTGTTCAATATAAGGAATTTTTGATTAACAAACTAGTGATTTAAAAGTGAAAAATGGCAACATATTTCAAAATGAAACAATTTTACTTCCAGTGGACAATTTTTTCAGCATGCCGATTGTGGCCATGCGGCAAAATGGAAAATTGAAACTAGTGAAAACCTTTGTTTTAATCAGTAACCTCAGTTCTTCAAAAGCAGTATGTTTCCATTGCTGGAAAGAATATACTTTTATTTTCCAAGCTTCTGTCTGTTGCCATTCAGTGAAGCCTAAGATACTTAACTTTCAGATTTAAATCGGAAAGTTATTGAGTAACAAACTAAGCGATTTAAAAGGCAGTAAGCACAGAATAATTTTTCTACTTTTTAATATGATTGATTAAATATGAAATGTTTTTATGAAATTGCACTAGCTTGATGTGTTAAAATCATTATATAAAATTTTTTACGACGACTATTTTAGGTAGCAGGCTAGTTTTTAAAGAAATAATATAGGGAAAAAAATTATGGCTACCCCTTCTTCAGAAGTTATAAAAGATATGCTGCTTTTTGATATTTTGTGATTTCATGTTGGATTTTATATCGTATGTTAAGAACTTTATATTTAATAAAGTTAAACATGCAAAAAGTAAATAAAAAGAAAGAAATAAGTTTTATTAGTTATCTCTTTTAGAAAACTGAGCATTGCTGTGCTGAACTGAGAAGAGACTTGTGTAAAAAATGTATGCCAACATCTACACTGAATCGGGAATTCTAAACATATGCTGCCGTTAAAATTTTGTGATTTTGTTGAAATTTTTGTTTTTGTGGCACGAGTGTAATGAAAATGCTGCTTAATAATAAAGTTAATAAAAAAGCAAGCAAGCGTGGGTTCAATATTAGATTGGTAAACTAGTGCTTAACCCTCAGCTGGAGGGGCTGGCGTATGGTATAATTTTAGAGGTGCGGCGTATGAAGTATGCAAGGTCGTTTTTCGAGCCGCTGCTTCGTATTTGAAACTATTTAATCTTACATGGCATTAATAAGGTGATTCGTCATAGTAAAAAGGATATAAGAAAAGGAATAACAGAAAAAAACGCAATAAAAATGGAAATTACGAATTTTTAATTAATTCAAAAAATGGGGAATGCACTGGAAATGTAATTTAAAGTTATATAGTATTCCGTATTATTTTCTGTATAAAAATTATAAGATCATAAATCATATTTACAAATTATAAATATTCCGTAAAGAAAAGTTCTGTAAGTAATAAATTTCACAAATGAAAAAAAATTAAAAACCTTTTGCTACTTTAATCCTCTTCAGATTGTCCCTGTTTACTGCAGCAGGGTTTGCAAAGTTGTACTGTCTTGCCGAAAAGATTTTTGCAGGTAAACTTAGAACACTCAGAGTATTATATTGGTAGTGTGATTATTCTTCATTCTCCTGCACTCAGCGTAGTGTCCTTTGATCTTTTTTGCAGGTGGCTCCTCGTCTTTTTCGGCTGTCTTGTCCGTTTCTGTTGTTACCAGCCTTCTAATAATAGCTTTGAAATACGACAGAAGAAATGGCATTTTTAGATGATTCTGAAAATGTGGTTTCATCAAAGATGTAGTTAGATTTAAAAAAAAAAAAAAAAAAAACTTGATGGTTTTATTACGTTTGACGAAGTTCAACAGCACTTGCGAATTTATGCCCGCTACATTTAGCAGTGCAAAAGATATTGCCATTGTCCATCTCTTACTTTTTCAGGTGACGGTGAAATTACTACAAAGTTGGTCTACGGTGTCAACACCGCCTTTACATTTGTTATAATCCAGGATTGTGTGAAGTTCATCCGTTTCCTGGTCAATTTTGTCATCATCGTGTAAAGTACTGAGCAGTATTACACACTTATTTTTTTTTCGTTGCATATGAAACAATTGTTATATCCTTTTGAAAACCAAACAGTCAACTGCTGATTGCTCTTGTTTTTGATGGCTAGAATTCATTATTATTTTTTTTCAGTGTGTCCACAAGTGTTATACCTTTGGTAAAAAGATATTGAGCTAGTGGGTAGCTTGGATACCAATTGTCGGCCGTCAGGCTACGGTTGGTACCGTCATATGCACCAGTTAGCCTTTTGACAATGTCAATACTTGAATTAGAAGCCTTGTAAGGTCCTAGAGGTTGATTGCCACAATAAAGTTCAAGCTTCAATGTATAAAACGTTCATGAGTCAAACAACTGCAAAAATTTTCAGACTGTACTTTGCGAGCTTGTTGGGGATGAATTGAATAAAAGAGCATCTCCCGCGAAAGTGTTCCAACTTTTCGTCGACTGTGAGTTCATCACCTGGTATATAAAAGTTTTGACAGTTCTGATTGAAAGATTAAAAAAATTCTCTTAGTTCGGCAAGCTTATAAGTTTTTCTTCGGATATATCTTGTGCCTTTATCGTTGAATCTAAGAGTAGCACACAGGTTTCTAAATCGCTTGAGACCCACGCCCACTTGCAAAATTTCAATTCCAGTACCGTCTTTGCCCATGCTTCCTCCAAATTCGGTTTTGACATTTTTTTTTGCACCCTAATACGAATAAAATTCCTAAAAAGGCCAATATTTCTGCTCTATTAGTATCATACATGCTTCTCTTTGAGATGTTTTGAAGATCATCTGCAGTCTTGTTTTATTTGAGATAAATATTTGTATATTGTACAATAGCATCAATCATATTTGTATTTATGATTTACTAGAAAGCAGAAAGCTCATCATTTAAATCATCATAAGATTTGGCACTTGGGAATATTTTTTTCAAATTTTTTCGAAACGTTCTGGCGAATTTGCTCTTGAGGGAAACTTTATTCCACTTATAATTTTCCTTTTCTTCTTCCTCCAACTTTCTTCTTTTTGTAAATTTTTTTACAAACCTCCTCATATTGTAAATCACTTATGTCATTTTCAACTTCACTAAAATCGTCATTTGTTCAGGAAACATCATTTGAGGAAGGAAAATGAGGATGTTTAGAAACATTTTCCTCAATTTCTAAGTCACTTTCATGATCAGAATGTTCGATGACTTCCGATTCATCGACATGAGATGTGTTATCCAAATTGTCAGAGTCTTCATCAACCGGGACTTCTTCTGAAACGCACAAATAATCTTGGGGAGGTACAATATTCTTTCTGTACATACTTGGAGGAGCGGCGTTTGCACATGCGACATGTTCACAATAACTGCTTTCGGGAGAAAAGTGAAAACCAGATTGACCAGAAATACCAGATGCGTTGCACTCATGGAATGTTTCTAGGAGGGTAGAGGAAGGGAGGAAGCTCAGGGAGAGGTCTAAAAATTACAGCCCAAAAGATGGCATTGGTGTACTCTGTACGCCGGCTCCTCCATTGCAGGGCTAATGAGAAGCATAAGAAACCTGAACAAAACCTTTGGTGCATTGTTAAAATCTGAATCCTTTCATGTTATATATATATATATATATATATATATGAAGTATCTGATAAAACAAAAATTAAGGTATTTTTTAAAAATATTTTTATTATTTATTTATCTGGTAGTCGTATCTGATCATGTAAATTTTAAATATGATATTGCCTTTCATCTGAAAGAGAAAATATTAAATGACTGAAAAGCAGAAGTGGTGGAAAGGACTTTATTTAAAAAAAATTGAATTTTTGCAAGATGTCATTAAATTATAAGTTTGAATAGATCAGGAATTTTCCTAGAAAAATTTTAATGTGAGCTGCAAAATAATTAATTTGCTTTAAGCAAAAATGGAAAACTTAACAGTCAACAGAAGGATTTTGACTAAAAATATGTAGAAGAATCATCAATCAGGCTTCTGAAAATCAGGCTTGTTTTCTCTTTCAGTATTCTAATTCTCAGTGTGAATGTGAAATATTTCATATAATTTATAGATCAAATTTAGAATTTGTATATATATGTTACGGTGAAACACCGAAATCTAGAGAATGTCGACTTTCACCAGTGAATGTCAACATTCACATAGTCGCTTGGTGTATGTCCGAAATATTTTCCAAATACTCTTATTTCTGACTTAACCGGTGAATGTCGACATTCATCATGTACTAATGGTGAATGTTGAACATATAAGAATATTATATTTCCTTCTCCGTAATTCATTCGCGAAAAAACACACTTGAGACTCAGAATAAAAACTTAAAACACACAGTACATTCAAAGTGAGAAAGGAAAATAATAGAAGTTATAAACTTACCAAATTATGTGATTCAAATAACGAGTAAACGGGCAGCCAATGGCCTAGGAACAGCCCCGAGTATCGAGAGACTCGTTTGCGCATGTGCAGTGCATGTGGAACTAAAAAAAAAATACCTTACCATTCTTGTATTGGTTTAATCCTAGTATACGGTACACACAGGATTTGGGACATTATGGTGTTGGAGACAATTTTCGAAATAGTGCCATGCCGTAGCGTATACTAGGATTTTATCGCAAAATCTTTTAAATTTCTTTTTCTTTTTAATAAATGTTTTATTTGTTGTTTTGTAGTAAAATAAAAAAAGTAGTATTCAATCATCTAGGTTAACCATTTAATATATTTGTATTCGCCAAAATAATCGCTGATTATTGTGATTCAATTTTTAAGTAATTAACTTTATTTTAATGTTATTTGTATCATTCTTCTCTAATAAATAAATAAATTCCTTAAGTAATAAATAAATTTATTTATTAGTTAATAATACTTTCAAATTTCAGGAAATTTTCTCTGGCGTAATCCTGAAATTAATTCTAGCAGTATGATGACATGCTATCATGAAATTTAATGCACATATTTTTTGCTTATGTATGCTGCTAAATAAATATAAAATACCTGAATTTATTTTAAAATTTTATTAAATAGATTTCTTTCGTTTAGCTGCAAAATGTCTAAAAAAAAGGGGGGGGGCATTTTTTAATCCAGATCGGGCAGATTCTAATCTCAATCTTTAGTGCAGAAAACAATTCCTATTATAATAACAATGTTTTGGGGATTATATATATATATATATATATATATAAGTTATATGCAATTGGCAAATTTTTGTGTTTTTAAGTGGTGCCATAATTACCTCTCAGCACAGCCAATGTGCACTATGTGGACAGACTGGAATTTAAACCCTGGAAAAGTGGGGGAATTTTATTCTTCTCTTTGAGTGGCAACCCTGCTGGCAGTGCAGCAAATTTCCTATACTGGTTTATGAATTCTGGTTTATTTGTGATGGCAATGTTATTAACATCTACTTGTCTTAGGAGGGATGCCTTGATGGATAACTTTCTTAGTGAAACTGGTTTGCATGTGCTACATATGTGAGTTAATGGTTGATAACTCTTGACTGATGATAATTATAAAAAGATAAATTAAAAAAATCATTGCAGGACTATTATTAGTAATAAATATGAAGATCTATTGTAGCATGTCTCAAATTTGCTAAATGTGATTTAAGTTTGAAGATTCCCATGTCCGAATTATAAATGTTCAGCATTATGTGTGACAACCAGTGGGGAATATCCGTTCTTAATGAAATCTTCTATTTTCATCAATAAATATGGAACCATAGTTGATGGTTCCAGGAAATATGAACTTGGCAATTAGATAAATATATATTTTACATAAGAGAGAGCTGATCATATATATAATACAGTCAAAAGTCGTGAATCCTGACTCGTCGGGACGTCGGCGATTCTGGATTATCGATTTTTCCAGATTATAGATCATCAGGTTAAATCTGGTAAGATGGCATGCAGAAATTATGAAATTAAAAATATGAAACCATAATTTCTGAAATAAAGAACAATTATGATCTAAATGGTATCAAAATTTCCAAAAAAAAAAAAAAAAAAAAAGCTTAATATTTATTTGTTTACTTTATTAAGCATTTCTTTCAATGTAAGTTGTTTAAGTTGCTTCGTTTTTTATGTGATAATACATTCTCTTTAATTCTATAAACGGACATAATTTCTTGTTCAGTTACAAAGTTCCGCTGTTCAAGTCTTATAATTGCTGTGTCGAGAATACAGACTAATTTGTCAATCGAAATTTTTTCGTTTTCAATAACCTCTGTCACTTTCTTCGCTATCGGAAGCGAATTATAATGACGAGGAATTTGATTTAAATCATATCAAACACGGAGTACATCGAGATGAAATACTACATTTAGTAAGGAATTATAAGCCAAATAAAATAAAAACATCTGCCCTGAAGATAAAGATAGTGCTGACAGATCAACTTCCAATTCATTGTGCGCTGCGGTGTTAAAGATAAACAAAGTTTAGATAAACAAACGTTAAAGTTTAGATAAACAAAGGATATGCCTTTATCCATTTTTTGCAGTAATTCCACTTTTTGTTTAATGGACTTCGAAACATACTTTCGCTTTGTAGATCCTTTACATATTAGTAAATATACATCAGAAATTCTATTTGACATAATCGAAAGTTCATTACTTTCATAAAATTGCTCTAACAGTCTGCAAAAAATAATAAGCCAAATCTAATTCGAAGATTAAGGAACAATGCAATCTGCAACATTAACTGAATTAGGTAATTTTAGCTTAGCTTATACCATCTGTTCTACATTAAACACGCATTCCTAAACATGTTTTGCGCATGCGCACACGCATATACGCAGCTGTAAAGGTCAATGCGACGCATGCGCAGAAAGTTTGTAGCTTTGAGGTTCCGGATTATGGGTGTCCGAATTAACGACTTTTGACTGTACTGCAGGGGGACAGTACTTGAACAATACAAAATAATAATTTATTTCAAAACAGTCCCAGAAGCTACTGGTGGTGGTTCTTTCAACTTCGTAACAAAACTAAAATTTGGTTCTAAAGAAGAGGAGCGTTCTGTAACAGAGATACAAATCATTCATTTGCACGGTTTTTCAATAGTAATAAAGTCTGCTTTAACCTGTGTGTACATTTTGATATCTATGTTTCTGAGGTAATTGTGGCTGCTGAAATGGGTATGTTCATTCAAACCTTAGAAGGCATATGAGGAAAGCATTTAATGCTGCTTTGTATGTTCCTGAGGTTTTCCATAGCTATGCATTTCAGTGATCGTAAGAAAAGTTCGATAGTATAATAAAACATAAGCCTGCAGAAATGCTTGGAAAGTACTGTTGTGCTGTTATTTTTCATACTTGCTACTCAGTATTTCAGATGTGTATAATATGAATGAAGAAGCAGGGATTATAGAATTAAAATTGTATTTTAAACTGATTTATGTTTTATATTTATTATTAAAATACTTTCCCATTTTGTGTGCTTGTAAGAATTTATTTTAGTAAAACTTTGTGTTTTATTTTAAATAATCTTTTATGTATACTTAGTGCTTTAATTAACTTACCTGCATTACCATTTAACACATTTAGATTAACTTTTTTTTTTCTCCCGTAATAGTTTATTCATGGTGGTCATACAGCTAAGATATCAGATTTCTCATGGAATCCAAATGAGCCATGGGTTATATGTTCTGTTTCAGAGGATAATATAATGCAAGTATGGCAAATGGTAAGTGGAACTTTTTTTGTAAAATCTAATATTATAATAATTTGTCACACTTTTTGAGAATTATTACATTGAAAACCCATCAGTTTTTTTTTTTTTTTTTAGTTCTGTCAAGTATGTTAAAGAGATCTGCATGTATTTTCACATTTATAATTTTCAATGCGTGCAGAGCATATAACCATGTCATTTTATAACAGTCTTTATTAAATTTGTTGTCTCATCGTATTTTATCCAAAAAATATTTTTGATAAATAATAAAAAAAAAAATTATTTTATTATAACAGTTGAAAATAGTTGAAGGTTAAATTATATTTGTGATAATCATTTCAGAATCTACAGTTTAATTTCTGTTAAGTGGCTGGTCATGAAAAAAATTGTGACCTGCTCTCTGCATTTTTATCTCATCTTGTTATTTCTTATCCATTGATAACTCTTTAGCTTTAATTTTCCATTTACTTTTACAATCAACCGCATTGGTGCGAGTGACCCACTCTAATGAATAATGTAAATCTAATAATATTTTTAGTTTGTTTCTTATATGCTTAGGTATGTAGTAGACAGCGTATTGTAAAGGATATATGCTACTGATTGATTATTCAAGGCAAAAGACATGCTTTTGATGGAAAATTTTTAAACTTCTTAAAACAAAAAGTGTTAAATTGAAATTGCATTTTCTCAGTTATATGTTTTCAGATTATGTTAAGTAACTAGAATTCTTATAACTGACTAGACCAGATGAAGTATTTAAAATTTGTTGTTGCTGAAGTAATTCAGCTTTGTTTACTTAATTATTGAAATTTCAAGATATAAAAAGTATTGTTAATATGCATGCGCCCACCAGCGGCCGAGCGGTAAAGTCGCTGAACACTGGTAGTTCAGTCCGAGGTTCGAATCCTGCAAACGGGCTGGCTGCGTGGGCGTTTTCATTGTTTTCCCCATGTGTAATGTGTATACGAGCCAGTTTCCCTTAGAAAGTCCTCCACAAAGGCATCCCACCCCTTAGGCAGATAGCCCTCGTGTGCTTTGCCATAACTCAGCATACCAACCTAATATGCGTGCATATAACTGATAATGTTATGATAAAAAGTATTGTTAATATGCATGCATATAACTGAAAATGTTATGCTCTATTTAATTCTTACATTTTCTTACATGTGTTATATTAATTTATATACACCTTTCATTTGTGCTTCTTAATAACTGAGTGTTCCATTATTTTGTTTTATTATACTTCTAATTTGGTTTATTAAATGATGTAGTGTATTTTTTATTGTCACTTTCTCATGATTGAATGTAGTATAAGTCTGAGTAATATTACTTTCTGCATATATATATATATTTATATATATTGTTTTCTCCCCTCAGGCTGAAAATATATATAATGATGAAGAGCCAGAGACTCTTACTACAGATTTAGAACCTTCAACAACATGAGCAATTTTATGTTAAAATAAACCAGTGCTTCAGTTAATGGTATTTTAAAGTAATCTACTTCATTTTAGAATGCATCGTCATCCTTTTTCTGATTGAACTGATTTCTCATTCATTCTTGCTAAATAGTGCAGTTTGATTGCACTTTGTACCTATCATGTATACAGTTTTGATAATAAAGTTTCTCTAATTTTAAATGTTTTTTAATAACTGCATTCATTTCTCATATACACGAAATTCTGCCTTTTTTAATTGTTTAATTTTATAAAAAATTCTGAGTTATATATGGGGTTTTTGTTAGTTAGATTATAACAGAAACTGAATTTATTCATATAGGTAGCAAATTTTAATAAATAACTGTATAACTGCAATTTTTTTTTTTTGTTTTTTTTTTTAAAGTTTTTTTTTTTTTTTTTTTTTTTTTTTTTGTTTTTTTTTTTTTTTTTTTTTTTTTTTTTTTTTTATTGAAAGTGGAATCTTTTTATGATTATGAAAATTGGCAACACCATAAGTGATTGAATGGAAATCAAATCTGTTACTTATACTTTGAAAACTAATGCTGCTTCATGATTCGTACACGAAATTCTGCCTTTTTTAATTGTTTAATTTTATAAAAAATTCTGAGTTATATATGGGGTTTTTTGTTAGTTAGATTATAACAGAAACTGAATTTATTCATATAGGTAGTAAATTTTAATAAATAACTGTATGATGGATTGTATAACTGCAATGTAAAGTGGAATCTTTTTATGATTATGAAAACTGGCAACACCATAAGTGATTGCATGGAAATCAAATCTGTTACTTATACTTTGAAAACTAATGCTGCTTCATGATTCGTATCATATGAGAGAAAAATAATTTATACTAATTTGTTTTAGTGTGGATGTATTGCTTACACTATAAAAACTTTATGAAAATTAGAGTACAAAAAATTTTTATCATAAAGTATTAAAAACTGCAACTTGTGATTCTGTACTAATATATAATGTATCGAATATGTTTTATTAATACTTACAAGTCTTAAAAATAGTTGTAGAGCATACTTGTTAAGTGATAATAATATTTATTATCACATATTATCATCATTATTTATATCATAACTTTCATTTAACTCTTTTTCCTCCTTTTAATTATAATACAAAATTCGAGATTCGAACTTATTGGGACTTCCGCAATTCCGGATTTGGGATCTTTCCAAATATTAGATCATCAGTTTAAATCTAGGAAGATGGTATGTAGAAATTATAAAATTAAAAATATGAAATCATGATTTATGATCTAAAGTGTATCAAAATTTCAATCAATCAGCAATATGTCGCTTTAACAGTTCACTACGTTCCTCGACATTTACTTTAGCCAAAAAGAGTGAAAAACCCTACAACTTTATAAAACATTTCTTTCAATGTAAGTTGTTCGAGTTATTTCATTTTTTGTGCTAATACCTTTTTTCTTTAATTCTATACACAGACATAATTTTTTTTCAGTTACAAAGTTCCATTGTTTGAGTCCTGTAATTGCTGTGTCAAAAATTCTGACTAACTTCTCAGTCAAAAAATTTAGTTTTCAATAACCTCTCTGTCACTTTCTTCATTATCGGTAAAGGTATTTTCTGGATCTAGAACCGTACTACAGATTTCACCATCCGTTAATTGAATAATTATTGCGTCATTGTCATCACAATGAAAAGCTTCTGTTATATCGTCTTCATTTATTACCACTTCTCCACATTTCTTTACAAATTCATTTAATGGAAAATTTCACCTCTTTTATATATATATATCTTAAAACCTTGAAATTCGTGCCTATCATCCTCAGGATCATGAAATACGGTAGCTGGCCATAAATTATGCCAAGCATTTTTCAAAGTATCTGCAAACACATCCCCCATGATCTTTTGTTACTCCACTCAGCATTTTATGCTAAAATATTTCAAACATTCTTGACTAGTCTTGCCATCATTCAAGAAATTTAACATGGATTTAAATTTGCATTTTAGCGCTCACGCTATTCCGATATCCACAGTCTGAATGATGGATGTACAATTTGGAGGAAAGAATAATATGGATATATTATCTTTCACTAAGACATTAAGCAAAGTATGAGCTGAACAGTTGTGTACAGTCATGACAGTTTTTGCATCATCAAGTAAACCAACCAAATTCAAATGTTGTTAAGCCTCGGGTATGAAATGATTTTCAAACCAGTCATTCATTAATGCTTGTGTCATGCATGCATGCTCTTTTATTTGCACGATATATAACGGGGAAAGTCTGCACTCCTTTAAATGTTCGAGGTCGTGTATTTTTTCTGATTACGAAAAGTTTACACTGGTGCGTGCCTGCAGCATTTGCGCATTAGTTAGTCTCCCTTTGGAATATATCTGAAATAGAAAATCAGATGAAAGATGAAGATTTGGTAATAGGGGCTGCAACTAAAAAAGTTAGTGGAAGACTATTCAGAGGCAGACAAAAGTTTTATGCCCAAGTTAGAAGCTACTTCTACTGAGTATGTGATTACATGCAACATTAATTTCCAATCAACGATGAAGTTGTAGATGTTTCTGCAACTTCATCGTTGATTGGATATATGCTAAAGTTGCAGATGCTTCTGCTGTAGCAAATGCATCCTTTTCAGATATAAGATATATTTTTAAATTTCCAGTTTTACTTCATGTAGTCATGAAAAATGATGATATTGACATTGCAGCGGATAAATTTCAGTCAGAATTTTGCAGCTTACAGTTAGAAAACTTGGATAAAAACCAGCTAGAATTGACACCCAGTGGAGTTTAATTGGAAAACTGAAAGGTGCTGATGGAATTTTAAAATATATTGAGCTGTCTTGAATAATATTGGCCATTCTGACAATTTTCTCAAAGTAATGCAGAGTGCGAGAGGATTTTCAGTATTGCAAAAGACTAAATTTAGATATAACATTAGTAAGGAGACATTAGAAAAATTTATTAGCAAAAGCAGGTCTATGTGGCAATTGCTATGAAGAAAATTATAAAGTTTCTTTCTTAATGAAAGCAAAATCTGCCACTATTCATAGCATTTGTTTAAAAACTGATTAAAGTATTATTTTTTGGTTAAAAGATGCAAATTAAAAAAAGTAAGAGTAAGTATTTTTGTACTGTTTGCATTTAAGAATTAGTAATTGAACTTTCAGATATTAATTAGTAACTGTTTAAAATTAATTCATTATTAAAAAATCTGATGTGTACACCACATGACTTCCTTGTACGGAATATTAAATTATACAGATTTTTTCTTGCATTTCATTTAAACTTGTTAGATTGAATTAAACCTACTTCGCTGACAGTGCATAAACCACAATAGAATAAATGCATTCTTTAAAATTCACTTTGTTTACTATAGCGACACTCTAGCGCTAGGTTTACTTAACAGTATTATATTTCGTTCATATTATAACTCAGAATGCACAAAATTTATATCATTTAAAGAATTATCTAATCGTTGCCACATGTTCTATTCAAATGCCATAACAAAGCTAGAACTATGTATAAAAGAAAGTGAGCAAACAAAACAAAAAAACAGTTTTTCACAGACGATTAAGTATTTCTCATTCAATTAATTCAGTTTTCACTTCGCAACAAGGCCAAAAATACATAAAAACTCAAAATATCTCTATTAAAAATTACGAAGTAAATCTTAAACACTTATTTCCTCGAAAAAATTCCAGAAAGGTATAAACATGATTTAAATAATAAACGAAGGCGTTATCTTTGTTGTTGCGAAGCTAAGGTTCTCTAGATTGGCAACAAATCCGCTACTCAGCTGTTTCAAATGTAAACAAGAGCAATGGCCGCCATCAAATTAGGCTTAGCTGCACTTAAACAATTTTAAAATTGTTGATAATTCTAAAAATATTGCTACAGATTTACTAAAGGCATAAAACCTTAACCGGAAGATAAAAACAAACATAATTCAATCATTTTTAAAGCAAAAAATTGTACAATTTACAAACATATAAGAGTAAAGAAACTGCGATCACTGAGCCGGGTAACAGTGGATATATTTATATATATATTTATGTACTTTTGGTGCGGCCGATTGAAACCAAAATACGAGGTGCACATCTACATGTTATAGTAGTCTTATATACAAAATTTCAACGTTCTGAGGCTACTCGTTTTTGAGTTATGCGAGATACGCACGTACATACATGCGTTCTGAGGCTACTCGTTTTTGAGTTATGCGAGATACGCACGCACGTACATACGTTCGAACAGACGCCACGAAAAATTCTCTTCAGAATTCATTTTAAAGCAGTTTTTTTGGAGGAAAAGAGTCTTTTATTCTGTCCTTACGTACAGATATCACGCAAAAACATGGTTAAATTGCATTCGAAAGCGGTCAAAGTGGATATTTTCGTTGAAATATGCTGCCTGAAGCTTTTCGCAATTACAATACTTCCTTTTTACTTTGTACGAGGAAGTAAAAATATATTTTTATCAAAGTCTTCATCGTTTGGAAAAATCTGATTTTTGAGTGTGTCATAGGTTGGCAAGTCTGCTTTGATTAAAATATACAGAATATATATGAGGTAGGATTCAAAAGTTCCCAGACTGTGGCTATAACATAAAAAATATTATAAATTGAATTGCAGAAACACATCCTCCTTCGAAATAAGACCCTTGTGCAACAACTTCTTTTTTTGCCAGCTCTTGTAATATTTATCAAAGCATGTCTGGAATCCAGTTTTGGCCATGTCCTTTAATTCAGCCTGCGATGCACATTTAACTTCATCTGAAGATTGAAATCGACGACCCTGCCGATGAATGTTTAGGAAATAGGAAGAAATCACAGGGTAGATCAGATGAATAAGGAGGATGAGGCAAAACAGTTTTTTGTTTTCGCAAGAAAGTCATCGACAAGTAGGAATCGGTGAGCCGGAGCGTTGTCATGCAACAGCACCCATGACTGCTCAGCCCACATTTTTGGTCTCTTCTGAATTGACTCATGCAAATGATGCAGAATTTCGACATAGATTTCTTTGTTCGCAGTGCATCCTTTAGGGATAAATTCCAGATACACAATGCCCTGGATATCGAAGAATAGCTCTAGCATGACATTTCAGCGATCTTGGCAGAATTTCTGCTTCCATGGAGATTTCCACGTTGCCAATGCTTGCTTGGTTTGAGGGTCATACAAAAAACACCATTTTCTCATCTCCAGTAAC